ACCAAGTGAGGTGCTAGAACTCATGAAAATTGGAGAAGCCTGAAAGGAGGAGAAACTCACATGTTGTTCTACAACTAGATGCTTGTTAAACTGAAAAACTTAAAACCTCACTCACTCGGAGCACGGTAAGAGCGTTTTACGAGAAAGTGACACTGGAGCTTGGGGGTATATGTAAATAAATAAAGAGCAGTCTTGTTTTTCATCAGAGGTTTTCTAAATCTGGTTATGGTATGGAGAAGAAGGGTAGGGTGGCTTGCTTCATGGTGGGATGAAGACAGTAGTAATACCGCCATATACCTTAGAGGGATGGATGGATCACTCAATGGAAGATAATATGGTTTTCCATGAAGAAACAAAGGTTACAAGAGGCAGGATTCTTGCTACCTCAACAGTTGCTAGCCTAGAGAAGTGATGATTCAAATAGAAAGAGGGTTGGAAGCATAGATCGTCAGGTATGTCTGTCCCTTTCTTAGTATACTGGGAAACACTAGTCAGGACTCCATGAAAACTATAAATATGCTATTTCCAAGGTGTCTAGGAAGCATGTTATGCTCCCTTCTCCTTTCCCAACCCTCATGTACACAGACACTAAGTTGGAGTTGAAGAAGCAAAAGAGTGAGCTGTACTTTCCTTAGTTCTGGTCCCTATATCTATGGTTCTTGGCTTATTGAGGGAAAGTGGAGGCAGTGAAATGTAAACTGAATATGAGAGTAAAATTTCCAGTAAGATTGAGTATTAATAACTGAAATGATATTTTAGTAATTGGAAGGGACCAGAAACTAATGGAATCTACTCTATTAAGGAATAGAAAATTGATAATTAAGAATGCAATTAAAAACAATTTGGAGAATAGTAGCACTGGTTCAGACATTATACTTCATTGGGATGAATCATCTCAAAAACAGGTTTAGAAGATTGGGGATAAGAAAAAATTTCTACCTAGGCATAGCGATTGGTCTTTCTCTGACACATCTGGGCAGGTCTGTGCAGAAGAAAAAAAGGGGGAGCTATTTTAAAGCAAGGAAAGCAGTACAAGTTGCCTTTGCAACTCCAGGGAAGGCTGAAATCAGAGTCAAAGGTCTGTACATATATCAGTGATGAGTAGAAGTGAGTTGGTATAGGCAACCAAGTGAAGGTGGGAGACTCAATCCACTTCAAAGAAAAAGCTAGAATCTGCCATTACTTGTTTTTTGGAGTGTGTTTGCATCTGAACACTGTTTTACCTCATGAGCAAAAGATGTGATTGTGTGTATGTGCTCGTATGCATGAGTTTTAACAGTAGCTAATGCCTTACTGAGAAAGAGTTCTGGATTATACATTTGCTTGTTAACCACAGCTAACTATTTGGGATTCTATCTAAAACTGCTGAATTTTAATGGTACAATAGCACTTCTATTAAAGGAACCTTATCCCATTATACTTCAAATAATAGTTAAAATAAGAGTAAATATGTTTATGCTCTCAGTTTTCTGATAATTTTTTTCATATTTATAAATTTTAATGGAATTAGTTTATCACATTACAAGAACAGATGTAACACTTACTTTTTTTTTTTTATCAAATATTGTAACATTAGCTCCATAGGAAAAGAAAATGCCTAGTGGAGCTACTTTCTACTAGAGTTCAGTAATAAAGCATAAGGAATACCTACCTCTAACTTGCTCTCACTTCCTCTCACCTCTAACTCTGTGGTGAAATAAAACATTAGTGTCTAACTTGCTTTGAAAATTGAGATCCTCAATCTCTAAAACTCCTCTTTCCACATTCAAATCTATTGCTAGATCTCCTCCCCTTTTCATTGAATTCTACTTTTCTTTTTACTTTTACCTATTCCAATCATTTTTCTGTATTGTAGTTACTCCCCAGATGTCATTTCAAAGGATAACAAAAATTATGTTACTTTTATTGTCCCCATTGACCCTTCCTAAAGTATTTCCAGCTCAAAGAAACAGACAGACACACTGTATCTTTCCATAGAAAAGGTGGAATAGGAATGAATGTTATTAACTTCTACAGAACAGAATATGTCTCAGTTTTCATACTGGCAGTTCCTCCTGTGAAACTCAACTGGTTTTTCTGAAACCCACCAGGTCTTTTGACAATCCCATGTGTTGACCAGATGTATCTGTCTCTTGATGCTGCGATACAGGATTACATTTTGCCTTATAGACTTTATCTATCATGACAATGTACTTTCATGAATACAACTTCATTTTATTAAGTACAACTGCTTTACTTGGCTTCACAGGAAAGCATAAGACCTATCACGAGGGGAGAGAAATTCCATATTAGATGATCTTATTATTATTTATTATCATAGTTATTTCTGTAGTTATTAAACATGTAACTTTAAAGTATATAACAATGGAAACTATGGAGGGTATTGTAGTATACCAATTTCAAGATTTAAATAATTTATTAAAAAAACAGAAAAACAAACTCATAGGGAGTTCTGGTGGCACAGTGCCTAAGGCATCTGACTGCTAACCAGACGGCTGGCAGTTCAAACCCACTCAGCAACTCCTCGGAAAGAAGACTGGGGAAATCTACTTCCATAGAGATACTGCCTCGGAAACCCAAGGAGGGGTTGCTATGTGTCAGAAAATGACTCGACAGCAGTGAGTTTTGTTTTTTATCTTTAATATAATTTTATTGATTCTCTTTTCAATCCCAGAGACAAAATTTCTAAAACCCACTTATTTGTACCACTGTGTTTTGGTTACCTAATGCTGCTCTAACAGAAATACCACAAATGGGAATGGCTTGAGCAAACAGGAGTTTCTTCTTACAATTTTTGGAGGTTAGAAGTCCGAGTGCCAAGTGCCAGGCTCTAGGGATTGTGTGAAAGCCGCTTGACCTTGCACTTCAGCTCTGCCTTTTGCTCTCTGCCCACTGAAGCTAGAGGCATCTCTTCACTCAGGCAGCTACTGGCTGCTGAGGCTGACAAGCTCATGTTCAACAAATAAAATGGTACAGTCCTGATGTTACCAAACAAAATGGCAGGCTGTTGACTCAAAATCCACTGAGAGTCCCAAGATCAGCAGAGCATGGCAGGCTGCTGAACAATGAGATGGCTACGTGCATGGTTCAAGCATGCCATAAGCTAGAGACCGTTCACAAGTCTTCTCCTTACATACAGGAAGCAGACCAGATCCCCAAGGCAGCTACTCAGCTGCTCACAGTAAATTCCACCATGGAGTTGATTGCCAGTTTCATCATGGGGAATACTATATCCAGCTGCCCAGCCACTAAAGTAGGCCCAGCTAAGTTGACACACAACCTATCACAATCCGGTAAAGTTATTACTGACATTCTGCCAAAACTAAACTAAACTCATTGCCACTAAGTCTATTCCAGCTCACAGTGACCCCCATTGGGTTTCCAAGGCTGTAAATCTTTATGAAAGCTTACTGCCCCATCTTTCTTCCACAGAGCAGCTAGTGGGTTCAAACCACTGAATTTCTGGTTAGCAGCCAAATACCTTAACCACTACACCAACGGAAATCTTTATGAAAGCTTACTGCCCCATCTTTCTTCCACAGAGCAGCTAGTGGGTTCAAACCACTGAATTTCTGGTTAGCAGCCAAATACCTTAACCACTACACCAACAGAGCTCCTTACTGACATTCTTAAACCAAAAAGCCAAACTGACTGCCTAAGAGGTGGGTCTGACTCATAACGATCCCTCCTTGGGTTTCCAAGGCGGTAGCACTACAAAAGTAGATTGCCCAACCTTCTTCTGAGGAGTGGCTGGTGGGTTTGAACCACCAGACTTCTGGTTAGCAGTCAAGTGCCTTAGGCACTACACTGCCAGAGCTTCCCTAAAGAATATGTATTTCCATGCATCTAAGAAGAACTGACATTCTTAGAGGCATGGACATACGTATTCTTCAGGGCTAAAAGGGTCATGATTGGGATGTTCAGGATAAAGTTGTATTCATTTAATCACTTACTTATTTGCTCTACTCTTCCTTCTTTTCCCAACTGAGTTGGCATTAGTAGGAGAATAAACGGACCTATAGAATGATTCATTGTTAGGAATCTCGAACAATTCTAAATGCATACCACTTTAAGTTACCTTGGTCCATAATGATCTGTTGGAATATTGTGGTGGTTGTTTTTGTGTTAACTTTGCTAGGCCTGGTGGAGTGGCTGGGCAGCTGGATGTAGTATTCCCTGTGATGAGACTGGTAATCAATTCTATGGTGGAATCTACTGTGAGCAGCTTTGGGTATGTGGTCTACTTCCCATATATAAGCAGCAGCTTTGGGAATGGTGTCTAGCCTATGGTACACTTGAACCCTGCATGTAGCCATGTCGTTGTTTAGCAGCCTGCCATGCTCTGCTGACCTTGGGGCTTTTAATGGACTTAAGATAATGGGTTGCTGTGTGGTTTGGTAATATTGGGACTGTGCCTTTTTACTTGTCAACCATGGGTTTGCTAGCCTCAGCAGCCAGCAGCTGAGTGAAGAAATGCCTCCAGCTTCAGTGGCACAGGAGCAGGAGGCAGAGCTAGACCCCAAGGTTGAGGGGCTTTCACCCAGCTCCTAGAGCCTGGCACTTTGAACTTAGACTTAAAGCCTCCAAGCTAATAGAGAATAAACTCCTATTTGTTGGGGCCATCCCATTTGTGGTATATTCTTGTCAAAGCAGCACTACGGAACCAGAAAAAATATCTTTTTGCATTTTCTTTTCTTTTTGGCTTGAGGGGAACCATTCTGGTATGAAATTATGGCAAATAGTAAACAAAGCAAAAGTACAGCTCATTTGTTAAACCAGGCAATGAAAGGTTACAATAAGCTTCCTTAAGTGGTGAAAACAGGGCTAAAAATTAAAAGAAACCCCTCTCAAGTTGTGTTTGAGGATCAGTACAGATAAATATAAAAACAACAAAGTGCAAGACAAATATCACTAGTCAGTTTCATTTTGCTTCAACACGATAATAGCTGTTTTCGATATTTACTTAACCTTTGTCTCTTCTGTATGGTTTCCTGACTTACCTGCAGTTGGAGTGGGCCTAAGCCTGGTGTTGCTGCGGCAGCAGCTGCCATGGTAGTTGGGATCAGCTGAACAGGGTAAGGGTCACCTAAGTAAGAGAATAATAGAGGCGTCAGCACCTTTTATCTACTCTCCACCTGCAAATTAAACTCATGCATTCACTCTTTCCAAAAGCCTTCTTTTGTGTGCCTTGCTGAGGCCTAATGAAAAGCTCTATTGTGCAGCCTTTTACTAACACTCTTTTCACAATTCTGGCTGAGAGAGGAATGTGAATAAAAGGCACAAGCAATTAAGGCGGAAACCTCATCCTTTTTTCATGATGTATTTAGGAAAATGGGGGGAAAAGTGCTCATTGATCAGAGGGCTGCATTTTATAACACACACACACACACACACACACACAGGCTGACAATCTTGATATGATCACCACAGCTCCTCAGCAAATTTATAATGTTCTAAAAAGTATTTAACTAAACCTATTTTTATTTTAAGAAATGAACTTCAAACATTTAAACCAAATAGCTTGTCTTGTGGGTGCTACATTATTTTATTGATTCAAATAATTTCTTACATAATAACATGTGGGCAAATTCATAATCAAGAAGACATTTTGTGTATGCTTTAAGTTACATAAACTCATTGCCATCAAGTCGGGTTTCCAAGGAGGTATCACTACAGAAGCAGATCGTCCAATCTTCATTGCGAGGAGTGGCTGGTGGGTTTGAACCTCCATCCTTCTGGATAGCAGTCAGATGCCTTAGGCACTACGCTACCAGAGCTCCCAAGTTAAATAAAACACTGGCTTTTTGTTACTCTAGAGACAAATGTTTGAAAACAATTTTTTTAATACAGAAAATAGGTAGTTCCTCTCCAAAGAACTTTATTTCTGTGAATTTCTTAAACAAAACTAAATGATTCAAAATTAACCTTGAAGTCTTACTATATATGGTCTATAAAAATCTAGACACTTGCAAACACATGTATATATACATATATATGTATTTATATGCACATACATAGACACACAGAAGATTATATATTTTCAGTGGAAATCAACAGGTTTTCTCACTTAGTAAAGAGTTGTGATAAACTTTTTGCATAGAGCCCAATGATCTCCTAACAGATATAACCAGTGATGCTTATTATTAGTCATCTGAAATATAGTAATAGCAAATAATTAAAAACAATAACCCTAAGAACAATTTGTAACATATAAAACATTGTCTTAGAAATCTAATTTTTGAAAAATGTATTGAGTGTCAAATGTATGGATAATGTAAGTTAAAATAACTCAGCATAGTCATTCAAAAATATCTACTTAGCACCTGCTACATGTTAAGCAATACTCTTGGCACAAGCAATGGAGTTTTAAAAAGACTAATATGCAGAGGTGGATTTACTGGGAATTTAACGACACTTAATCTTCATGGCTCTGAGAGGGCATCCTGGAAGTGTGTTCACAGGGTGATATGTTTTTAAACTTGTCCATTCCTTCATTATATACTTTGTTGTGATTTCTTGTTATAAATACATATTTACTTTTATACTGAAGTCTGTATATATAACTTCCAAATGATTTTTCAGGCTTCAAAACACCTCTATCTACTTCTGCTAATCTAGATGCCTCAGAGTTTATAGTTTAATGGGAGAAATAGATAACTAAATGACTAGTATAAAAAATAATGACTGTTAAGATAGGGAAGTATATAGGGCTATGGGCTTCACTGTAGGTACCCCAAACCTAGTCTAAGCAGTCACAGATAGTCTTCAAGAAGAAGCTATGCTTAAGTGAAACCTGAACATTTTAATTGAACCAGGCAAAAGAGAGGAAGAGTTTTCCAGACAGGGAAATAATTTTCATTGAAACTGAGAATCAAATGAGACTGTAGAACAATAGTCTGCATAGTTGAAGCAGTACAGGTAGGAAAGTGGAGAAAAATGGGGCTGCAAGGTGACTCAGGGGCCAAATTATGTATGGTATTGTAAACAATATAAAAGAGTCAAAACTGAATCCTATAGGATAAAGGAAGCCGTGAACATGGAAAACAAGACTGGTTGAATAAGATCACTTGGGCTGCAGTTTGGAGGCTCTAATTAATTACTAAGCAAAGTAATGCAACACAAGGTGCTGCCCATCGAGCGGAATCTGATTCATCCTGACCCCTCCTTGGGTTTCCGAGGCAGTATCACTACGGAAGTAGATTGCCCAACCTTCCTATCGAGGAGTGGCTGGTGGGTTTGAACCGCCAGTCGACTGTTAGCAGTCAAATGCCTTAGGCACTACACATAGAAATCTGTACAGTCAGGAACAATGGTCCGGATTAGTGTGGTGACACTGAAGATGTAGAGTGATAGGGAGATTCATCTGATTTCTAAGTAGTAGAACTGACAAAACTGAATGACTATTTCATATGAGAATAAGAGAAATGGAGGAAGGGTCACAGCCAGGGTTGTCACTGGAACAAGTTTTTCAGGAGTAGTACTATTTGCAAAATTTGGAAGCAGGATTGCCAGATATGGCGGGTGGGTGGCAGGAACAGGGAGCAAAGGAGAAGGAATAATTTACAAAATCTGTTTTTGGAGATTTTAAGTTTGCAATGGCTATTAGATATTTAAGTTGAGGTGTTCATTAGGTACTTGATAACATGTTACGATTTTAGAAGTCCACATAAGAGACATAAATTTGAGAACAGTCGCATACATATAAAATTTAAAGTTATAGGCTTTGATTAGGTCACTTAGGAACTAATTGTAGATAAAAAGAGGTGCAAGGATTGGATTGCAGGGTATACTAATATTTACAGTCAGGTAGTCAGCAGAAGAGATTTAGGAGAATTGGTAAATCTGGAGTTCCAAAAGCCAAATAAAGAAAAATTGCAGAAAGAGAGAGGATCAATTTTTCCAAATGTTCCACAAAGACCAATGTCAAAGTCTTGTTCACTTCAATTATGGATGTTTTAATGGAATGGAGTGTGAGAAAACCTAATTGGTGTGATCAATAGAAGATGACAGAAAGAAAGGAATTAGAGGCAGGAAGTATTGATCCTTGTTTTTTTTTATAAAAAGGTTTTTGACAAGCAGCATTGACACCACCTAGGAATTACTTAGAAATATAGAATTTCAGAGTCCACCCCAAATCTTCTATAGAAGGCAGCCTCTAAGATAGAACCTCCAATGATCACCATCCCTTGGTATTTATGTCCTTTTGTGTAATCCCTGCCTTTTGGGTGTGGGCTGGACCTAGTAACTTCTTTCTAATGAATATAATATGGTAAAATGACAGGATATCACTTCTGAGATTAGATTACAAAAAGATTCTGGCTCTGTCTTGTTTATCCTCTCCTCTACAGTTCTGTAAGCAAACATGTTGTGGGCTGTACTACTGAAAAGTCAACGTGGCAAAGAATTGATGATGTCTTTGACAGATAGCAAGAGAAGACCTGAAGGTTTTCCCCAGCCAGAGAGGGACCTTAGAAGAGAACCCTTCCCAAGTCAAGCTTAGAGATAAATGCAGTGTTGGCCAACATCTTGATTGCAATTTTGAGAGAGAGCCTGAGCCATAGGAAACCAGCATGGCTGTGTTCAGATAAATAAAGTTTCAAGCCACTAAGGTTTTGGGTAATTTGTTAAGGCAACAAGCATATTAATGTCTGAATCAGAATTTTAATTTCAACAAAATTCCCATATGATTTATGGGCTGTCTAAAGGAGCTCTGGTGGTACAGTGCCTAAGGCATATGACTACTAACCAGAAGATTGGTGGTTCAAAACCCCCAGCCACTC